GGGGGCCCCGGGCCCTGAGACGTGCCGCCCAGCCCGGCCTGCCTTCTCTGCCTCGGTGGCTCTCCCTTTTTCCCTCCCGGCACACTGGCTGGTGCCGTCGGTGCTGGGTGACGTGGCAGTGCCAGGCTAAGCTGTGACTGTGTGAGAACGCTCTCAGCCACCAACTTCTCGAAAGGACACAGGCGTCACGGCGTTCTGGCACAGCCGTCACTCCGGCGTGAGCCCGGCTCTGCATTGGACTGCACGTCCGTCCGTCCGCCCGCGTGTTGAGTGGACGGGGGCCCTTCGTGTGTGTGTTTTACTCACGTGGTGACGCGCCCACACCTGCCCGGCCTGCTGTCTCTGTCCCTGGCCAGGCTGACTGCCCCGCGGCTCAGGCCACCTGGGGCCCACGGCTCACTCTCTCAGGAAGCTGGGTCATGTGTCCCTTCAGAACGTACCGGAACCATGGCCACCTCTCCCCTGGTGTCCATGGACGGTGGCCCGCGCCCGACTCTGTACCGAGCTCTGTGCCAGTGCCGTGGAGGGGCTGGGCCAGCCAGCCTGTGGTGTGTCCTTTTGTCTGTCCCCGCCCACAGCGCCGGCCACAAGCTCCAGGCCAGAGTGGGGGTGCAGCCAGGCCTGCGACTGCCCCTCGCCACAGCAGCCTGGCCCGGCCTTCAGACCCTGGGGACAGCCGCGCCTGCAGCCAGCCCTGCAGCCAGCTTTCCCCTTGTCAGACTCGGCCGGTCCAGCTCGGAGGAGGCAAGGCCGACACTGCCCGTGAGCGCGGGGCAGAAGGGGGCCTGGGGTCCCTGTCCGTGTGCTCCCACGGGGTCAGCTCCCGCTCCGATAGGTTCCATGCTGCTCTGAGCCCCTCTGCCTGCTTCTGCTCACTGAGGGCGAGGCCGCTGCCCCCGGGCACCCCGCCGTCTCTCCCGACTGTAGTGTGTGCACGGGCCGCCTGGTCCCTTGGTGCTCAGCAGGCATGGCGGTCTGGTCACGTGGGCCCAGGGAGGGCCCCTGGACCCCGTACTGGCCCGCGGGACCCCCTCCACGGGCTCCACCCCCCCCATCATCAGGGACCTGGCCCCGCTGGGACTGTTAGTCGCCTCCCGGAGGTTGGCAGGGGGTGAACGTACCCAGGTCGCTGGGGGAGGGGAGCTCAGCCTGCAGTGCTGGGGCCGCCAGGGCCGGGGGTGAGACCGAGTGGGGTGAGGGCAGAGGGGACGGAGC